TGGGTGTGAGTGAGGGATTTATGGGCGTGAGTGAGGGATTTGTAGGTGTGAGTGAGGGATTGGTGGGCGTGAGTGAGGGATTTGTGGGTGTGAATGAGGGATTTGTGGGCGTGAGTGAGGGATTTGTGGGTGTGAGTGAGGGATTTGTGGGTGTGAGTGAGGGATTTGTGGGCGTGAGTGAGGGATTTGTGGGTGTGAGTGAGGGATTTGTGGGTGAGTGAGGGATTTGTGGGCGTGAGTGAGGGATTTGTGGGCGTGAGTGAGGGATTTGTGGGCGTGAGTGAGGGATTTGTGGGTGTGAGTGAGGGATTTGTGGATGTGAGTGAGGGATTTGTGGGCGTGAGTGAGGGATTTGTGGGTGTGAGTGAGCTGTGAGTGTGAGGCCCATCAAGAGGGAGTTGTGAGTGGGTGTGAGGACTTTCTGGGTGGGTGTGTGAGTCTTCTGGGTGGAAATAAAGTTCTTGTGGGGGTGGCAAAATGTAACTTTCTCACTATTTACATATAGTCAACAGGAAACTGTTGACTATAACCCAGATTTGTCTATAAGTAGAGGACAATAACACACAATAAATTGTCTAATAACTGATTGGACACCAAGAGAAGGTTGTAAATCACTTCACTGGTTGAAAGTTAACCTTCCAGTTTCACACACAGCTGAAAAAATCAAGTTAGTGACGACGTTTTGGTCCGTCTTGGACCGTGTTCTCAAGTCGTCCCGCAGTACGAGTCTGTTTTGTACAGTGTGGGCTGCCCACCCTGGCTGCCCACCCTGGCTGCCCACCCTGGCTGCCCACCCTGGCTGCCCACCCTGGCAGCTCCAGCCCTAACCACACTGTCATACAAGACGAGCCACATATCTGTGCATCATTAACTCAAGTCAGCAGCACACTCCTCAACCCGTTCTCGCAAATTTAATAAGTCAATATTGACTTATTAAATATGTGCATAGGTGACATACTTAACATAATAGATACCCTTAAAAAGATTCATAGAAAACACCGACCTTACCTAACCTACTTAGTATGTTAAGATAAGCATCTTATTGCTTCGTAATTACAATTATTACTTAACCTATAACAGGTATAGGTTAAGTAATAATTGTAATTACGAAGCAATAAGATGCTTATCTTAAGATACTAACAAGGTTAGGTAAGGTCGGTGTTTTCTATGAATCTTTTTAAGGGTATCTATTATGTTTAGTATATCACCTATGCACGTAGTTAATAAGTCAATATTGACTTTACGAATTTGCGAGAACGGGTTGCACTCCTAGATGGTGCTACTGCTCCGTACTCCGGTCTAAATACAGACGTTGAGTTACAGTAACGTGGCTTAACCCGTCTAAATGTAAACTCTAAACCATTCCCCTCACTTTGCATCACTATGTGATGAACTATTACAGAATTAATGAATTTAGAAACACTTTTATCAAAAAAATGTAGCAAAATATATGCTTTTTTTATTATAAATTATGTACTATTAGTGTTTTATTCAAAGTTTACTTCGACACAAATGATAATTCCCCCCCCCCCCAGGCTTGACGGGTGACTGGGACCCAGAACCCGAGCCCGACACGAGGCTCTGTAAGCTTTGCTCCATCGCCCTTACTGTGAGGTCCTTAATAAGTTAATTTCTTGGGTTCCACCTCTAAACCTACACTTGATTGGTGGGCTAATTACTTAACTCTTTTGGTGATAGTCTGAGAATTCATATATATATATATATATATATATATATATATATATATATATATATATATATATATATATATATATATATATATATATATATATGGAATTTGCAATCATTCCCTTATCTCTAGTTCACTCTAGCTACCTTAATTGATAGTTTGCCAAAGGCGTAAGTGCTTTGAGGCCATTTACGTCTCATCTTGATCACTCTCCACCCCACCATTGAGTATTGAAGGTCGTGATCATGTCTTCACTACTTTTTCTCGCCTCTAGTGAAGTAAGGTTAAGTTACTTTAGTCTGTCCTCGCAGCTCACTGTACAAGTCAACAATAAATTAGTGGTCACATACCATGATAATACAACCCGTCCTCTTAAAAATAACGTCGCTTTTCGCACGTATACGCTCTATGGCCTAAAATGGACGTAATTTAAAATGAAATCGCCTCACGAAAGTGATGTACTGTCCCGTTTTCTGTTTGAGTCGTCCGGCCTACTCGAAAAGGTTAGAAGAGGAAACTTTCAATTAACGTTTCTCATGACGTTTTGAAACTTTATGAGAATTTCCTGCCCACCTAACCTACCAGAGGACCCTTAACTTACTGTTTTTTGGGGGAAAAAATCAAAAATTTATTTTCAATTTTTTGCATTTTCAAATTACCTCCATTTTTGGCAATACGGGTAAACGGCCAATTTCAGACGTAATATGTATGAGAAGAGATATTACGTTCATGATACAGAACAAAGTTATAGCCACAAATAGGAACAATACAACTCCCAATTTCAACAAGGCCATATCTTATACTCAGTGAGCAAAATTGGCACGATATTGACCCACATCAACAGGATAATGACCAACATCAACAAGAAGATAATGGCCATTAAACTCTCACGTGACTGTGTGATGATCTCTCTCTCTCTCTCTCTCTCTGTCTCTCTCTCTCTCTCTCTCTCTCTCTCTCTCTCTCTCTCTCTCTCTCTCTCTCTCTCTCTCTCTCTCTCTCTCTCTCTCTCTCTCTCTCTCGGAAGTGGATCGCTTCGAGTGCCTGTTTACTTCTCGAGTGTGTCGTGACCCTCTCTGACCTGGCACTCCAAGTGCCACTTCAGGCCCAGAGTGCCAAAGGTTTGTGCTTGATTGTGTTTACAGCCCTGATCTGCCCCGTACGGTGGGGGGGGGAGGGGCCTGTAGTCATGATTGGGAAGGTGTGGCCTTCAGGGATTGGGTTAGTAGTGGTTGTTGTGGTGGTGGTGATGGTGGTAGAAGCGTTGAAAGTGTTTTTTTTTTATTATTATTTTCTACCACAGACGTGGCCAGACATTTACAATGCTAACCAAGTTATATACAATTTCTTCTGTCCACCTGGTGGTGGATATGTGTATCACAAGTTTACAATTCGCTTAAATGGGACACAAGCCGCTTCGTTGCTGTTGTTATAGATTCAGCTACTCGGAACAAGTTCCAAGTAGCACGGGCTATGGTGAGCCCGTAACTTACCTGGCACCGGAGCGGGGCAAGTAGCACGGGCTATAGTGAACCAGTAGTGGACTTACCTGGCACTGGAGTGGTGCCCTGGCCCCCCTTACCTCAGACTCGCTTAAATATATCTGCGGCTTGGGATGACGTCTTGGAGGTCGTCGCTCGCTAGATTCAGCGACACACACTTACTCCGGATTGCGCTTAACGGGTCGACCACTGTCCACGCTGAATATGGAGTTCGCCTTAAGCTCTTGGGCTCCACCTTCTTGGCACCGCTGTCCTTCCACCCGCCGTGTTCTGGCGCTGGTAATATCATGGCCGGCGCCAGACACCGGCATCTCTTAGACCCACCTGGCATATTTGGCCACGAAACCATTTTGTTTTGATTTTTATGATGAGACTGTGTATAATGTCGCTGCTGCTTCCTCCAGTTGCTCCTTAACTTCCTCTAGTTGATTGGTTACTCCCTCAAGTTGATTTACTCCCTGTTGTTCTATCTGGGACAAGAACCAGTCTTGTTGCATACCTTTGCAGCTTTTTCTAGTTTTTTTTGTGTTTCTTGTGTAGGGGTTCCATGCCGGGCCTGCATACTGAACATTGGGTCTCTCTTAGAGTGTATATTGGGATTGGAAGGGCAAGGGGAGGGGGGGTTTTTGCGTGTGCGCACGCGCGAGTGTGCGCTCAAATTGTGTTTGATATGCATTGTTAGTATTATTTAGTTGTTGCGCATGCACCCTGCGCCTTGTGTGTGTGTGGGGGGGGGGGGGGAGCCGGTCGGCCGAGCGGACAGCACACTGGACTTGTGATCCTGTGGTTCTGGGTTCGATCCCAGGCGCCGGCGAGAAACAATGGGCAGAGTTTCTTTCACCCTATGCCCCTGTTCCCTAGCAGTAAAATAGGTACCTGGGTGTTAGTCAGCTGTCACGGGGTGCTTCCTGGGGGTAGAGGCCTGGTCGAGGACCGGGCCGCGGGGACACTAAAGCCCCGAAATCATCTCAAGATCTCAAGATAACCCCTCGCTCTCCTGTAGTGCTCACCACCTGTCTGTCTGTCTGTCTGTCTGTCTGTCTGTCTGTCTGTCTGTCTGTCTGTCTGTCTGTCTGTCTGTCTGTCTGTCTGTCTGTCTGTCTGTCGTCTCCTCCTGGCTGGTGATCCTACAGAGTGCAAAGTTACCAAGTTGCAAGCGTATTACAGGTGTTGGTGACGGGACGCCGCTGGAGCAGGTGCGCGCCAGTTGTGTAGTCAGGTGACTGCGTTTGACGCATATCCGCGTGTTGAAGGAACAGGTTCAACACGTCAGTCAGTCTGGGGATGAATGATCACTGGTGGAGTGATGTTCTAGTGAACATCTAGTGAACATCACTAGAGTGATGTTCTAGTGAACATCACAGTCGGTATGAGCCTTTTAATGGCCAAGAGCCTCTATTAATTTAATGGTCAAGAGCCTCTTTTAATTTAATGGCCAAGAGCCTCTTTTAATTTAATGGTCAAGAGCCTCTTTTAATTTAATGGTCAAGAGCCTCTTTTAATTTAATGGCCAAGAGCCTCTTTTAATTTAATGGTCAAGAGCCTCTTTTAATTTAATGGCCAAGAGCCTCTATTAATTTAATGGTCAAGAGCCTCTTTTAATTTAATGGCCAAGAGCCTCTATTAATTTAATGGTCAAGAGCCTCTTTTAATTTAATGGCCAAGAGCCTCTATTAATTTAATGGCCAAGAGACTCTTAATGGCCAAGAGCCTCTATTAATCTAATGGTCAAGAGCCTCTTTTAATTTAATGGCCAAGAGCCTCTATTAATTTAATGGCCAAGAGCCTCTATTAATTTAATGGCCAAGAGCCTCCTATTGCCCAAGAGCCTCCTAATGGCCAAGAGCCTCCTATTGCCCAAGAGCCTCCTAATGGCCAAGAGCCTCTTAACAGCCAAGAGCCTCTTAACAGCCAAGAGCCTCTTAACAGCCAAGAGCCTCTTAACAGCCAAGAGCCTCTTAACAGCCAAGAGCTTCCTAATGGCCAAGAGCCTCCTAATACCCAAGAGCCTCCTAATGCCCAAGAGCCTCCTATTGCCCAAGAGCCTCTTAACAGCCAAGAGCCTCCTAATGGCCAAGAGCCTCTTAACAGCCAAGAGCCTCCTAATGCCCAAGAGCCTCTTAATGCCCAAGAGCCTCCTAATGCCCAAGAGCCTCCTAATGCCCAAGAGCCTCCTAATGCCCAAGAGCCTCCTAATGCCCAAGAGCCTCCTAATGCCCAAGAGCCTCCTAATGCCCAAGAGCCTCCTAATGCCCAAGAGCCTCCTAATGGCCAAGAGCCTCTTAACAGCCAAGAGCCTCTTAACAGCCAAGAGCCTCTTAACAGCCAAGAGCCTCCTAATGCCCAAGAGCCTCTTAATGCCCAAGAGCCTCCTAATGCCCAAGAGCCTCCTAATGCCCAAGAGCCTCCTAATGCCCAAGAGCCTCCTAATGGCCAAGAGCCTCTTAACAGCCAAGAGCCTCTTAACAGCCAAGAGCTTCCTAATGCCCAAGAGCCTCCTAATACCCAAGAGCCTCTTAATGCCCAAGAGCCTCCTAATGGCCAAGAGCCTTTTTGCTGTGGTTGCCAATTTGTGGATGGCCAGGTTAGGTTAGGTTAGGTTAGGTTAGGTTAGGTTAGGTTAGGTTAGGTTGTGCCCTGGCCTCACACATGGCAGTAAGGTCACCACTCTCTCTCCCAAGTGTTGATGACTGATATAGTGACCAGTATCTGTCAATACTGATATACTGACCATTATCTGTCAATACTGATATACTGACCATTATCTGTCAATACTGATATACTGACCAGTATCTGTCAATACTGATATACTGACCATTATCTGTCAATACTGATATAGTGACCAGTATCTGTCAATACTGATATAGTGACCAGTATCTGTCAATACTGATATAGTGACCAGTATCTGTCAATACTGATATAGTGACCAGTATATGTCAATACTGATATAGTGACCAGTATCTGTCAATACTGATATAGTGACCAGTATCTGTCAATACTGATATAGTGACCAGTATCTGTCAATACTGATATACTGACCAGTATCTGTCAATACTGATATAGTGACCAGTATATGTCAATACTGATATACTGACCAGTATCTGTCAATACTGATATAGTGACCAGTATCTGTCAATACTGATATAGTGACCAGTATCTGTCAATACTGATATACTGACCAGTATCTGTCAATACTGATATACTGACCAGTATATCTGTCAATACTGATATACTGACCAGTATATGTCAATACTGATATAGTGACCAGTATATGTCAATACTGATATACTGACCAGTATCTGTCAATACTGATATAGTGACCAGTATCTGTCAATACTGATATAGTGACCAGTATCTGTCAATACTGATATAGTGACCAGTATCTGTCAATACTGATATAGTGACCAGTATCTGTCAATACTGATATAGTGACCAGTATCTGTCAATACTGATATAGTGACCAGTATATGTCAATACTGATATACTGACCAGTATCTGTCAATACTGATATAGTGACCAGTATCTGTCAATACTGATATAGTGACCAGTATCTGTCAATACTGATATAGTGACCAGTATCTGTCAATACTGATATAGTGACCAGTATCTGTCAATACTGATATAGTGACCAGTATATGTCAATACTGATATACTGACCAGTATCTGTCAATACTGATATAGTGACCAGTATCTGTCAATACTGATATAGTGACCAGTATCTGTCAATACTGATATACTGACCAGTATCTGTCAATACTGATATACTGACCAGTATATCTGTCAATACTGATATACTGACCAGTATATGTCAATACTGATATAGTGACCAGTATATGTCAATACTGATATACTGACCAGTATCTGTCAATACTGATATACTGACCATTATCTGTCAATACTGATATACTGACCAGTATCTGTCAATACTGATATACTGACCAGTATATGTCAATACTGATATAGTGACCAGTATATGTCAATACTGATATACTGACCAGTATCTGTCAATACTGATATAGTGACCAGTATCTGTCAATACTGATATAGTGACCAGTATCTGTCAATACTGATATAGTGACCAGTATATGTCAATACTGATATACTGACCAGTATCTGTCAATACTGATATAGTGACCAGTATATGTCAATACTGATATACTGACCAGTATATGTCAATACTGATATACTGACCAGTATATGTCAATACTGATATACTGACCAGTATCTGTCAATACTGATATACTGACCATTATCTGTCAATACTGATATACTGACCAGTATCTGTCAATACTGATATACTGACCAGTATATGTCAATACTGATATACTTACCAGTATCTGTCAATACTGATATAGTGACCAGTATCTGTCAATACTGATATACTGACCAGTATCTGTCAATACTGATATAGTGACCAGTATATGTCAATACTGATATACTGACCAGTATATGTCAATACTGATATACTGACCAGTATATCGGTCAATACTGATATACCCGCAAGCCCGCTATAGTCTTGACCGCCGCGGGTCAAGACTGAAAAAAAAAGTCTTGTGTCACAGTTCTTCACCTTGTATAGAGTTGTGTTGAATGGTACGGGGCAGGTCTGGCTTCATGCAGGTCGGCGTTCAATCCCCGACCGTCCACATATCTGGCATTGAATCTAGGACAGGAGTTCA